GCAAGAAGCTAAGCCACTAATCCCTCCGAGGTCCTCACTGGGGTGGAAAAGGGCCGCAGACACGCCACCACATCCTCGTGGGGACGAGAAAAGCCACCGACAGGTCGGTTAACAGTGGCTGCCAAAATGACGGCTGCAGATCACCCAAGATGGCAAGATGCTAGAGTGACCCGACCCGCCGCAGCACAGCGAGGGAAAGCCAGATGCAAGAAGCTCACCCTTCGCCCTTGAGAAGCTGCCAAGAAACCATTCCCCCGGAACGGGAGGTGTGCGTGAAATCGCCCGCGCTGCCACAGCACCCATCTGGATGCGTGCTTCAGAGAGAACCTTCCAGGGCCCTGAGGCCATATCAGAGGACAACACAAGGAACAGGAAAACCTGTCCACTAGCTCAACCCTTCCATATCTTAACCGTGGTGGGGCCCTGAAACAACCAACATAACACGACTAGGTGATAGATGCCTCCCCTGGGAAAAGGGCAGGCTCGACTCACATCATTCATTTAATTATTGAGCACTGACCGTCAACAGCTCCCTGCCACCAGGGAGCTTACGCTCCAAATGAGATTTTTTTTTTCCTGAGGGCATCCCAGTATTGTAATTTTTCTCATTGTTGTTGTTGTTCTATTAAAATAATTCTATAACGAGCCGGACACAGTGGAACAGGCCTGTAATCCCAGCTACTCAGGAGGCTGAGGCGGGAAGACTGCAAATTGGAGGCCAGCCTCAGCAATGTTTAGCAAAACCCTATCTCCATTAATAAATAAATAAATAAATAGGTCTGAGGATGATGCTCAGTGGTAGAGCCCTGCCTCGGTTCAATCCCTAGTACCACAAAATATAAGGGTTCTATAATGATAATATCACCAGACATTGGCTGGGTGCCACTTTGTACATGACTCTCAGCAAAGAATTTTATATTCGTCTTCTAAACAGTTCCACGTGATAGGTACAAATGTTCACATTTTTTTTTTTTTTTACAGAGATGGAAACTGAGACTTGGAGGGGCAACAGGCTGAAGAAATGATCTCTCCAGGTCATCAGCTAAGGTTCTTGGCTCTAAAACCTTAAGGAGGCTCAAGATGCGCAAGAACTGAAGCGACACATGGCACCCCGTTAATATGGACGATGTTTATGTTTTTATGTATCAGTTTTTAAAAAAATTAATTCAAATTTAAAAAACAAAAATAGAACTTGAGGGGAATGGCAATTGGGAGGAGTGGGAAATGTGTTTTTATACACAAGGATAATTAGAACAGATGGCGAGTGACACCAGGCTCCACTCTCGCCGATAGATGCTAAGGAGCCTCTTGGTTCCTCCACAGAAGAAAAAGCGGCCACAGACTCCAGTGAAACTCTTCCAGGCAGCCCACACTTCAGCCCAAAGGGGACAAAGGAAGGACATGGCATGATTGATCCCCATCATCCTCATTTCTCCAACAGCTTCAAATTAAGTCATCTTTTGAGAGTAGCATGACCATTTTAATTTTTAAAAAGACGAAGGAGGAGACTCTTACATATTTTACAAAATGAAGTAATCATCCGGAAAAAAAAAAAAAAATAGAAAGATATTGAATGGACCCTCTTCTTCTCCTGATCAAAATGTACTTCACTAATTAACGGTCACCGGTCTCCAAAGAGTTATCCCTGGACTGGTTAATAAAGCTCATTATACCTCACTTGAGATGTGAACATGGACGTCGCAAAGGGTGATGACTGAATTGCAGGCTTCCAAACCCTTCCTTCCATCCCTCATTAAAATTCTGGTCAAAACAGATTTTTATTTATGATACATTAAAGAATATTATGACAGTACTAATACAAAATCTGTTCTTCACTGCCACAGATTTCCCTGCGTCTTAAGTTACAGCTTCTTTCCACTAGCCTTGTTTTAACACCTCCATGGAATATTTCTCTGGGACCGCTAGAAAGCAGACAAATGAGTTTTAACTGAAAGGCAAAGTGACTTATCCTTTACTAGGTCCTCAGCCAGTCCACAAGGAGGGGTCCAGTTCACTGTGCCACTGCGACCTTTAAAGCAGACTTGTAGAAGTTACATTGAATGGAGATAAACAATCAATGCATAGGCTTTCTTTGAAAGTTCTATACTCCTGCCAGCCTGGCTGTGGTCCCCCAAAGTGACTTCAATCTGAAATGCTGGTGGCCAAGCTCAAATTCTGTTCAAAATAATGACAGACAGTAATGGCCTTTTCTCTCCACCCTGCTCCAAATCCCAACCACCACACACCTCGATGGTTCTCGGGGTGCCTCACGAGGTGCAGCAAACCAGAACAGGCTAAAAGGATCCCCCCCACTGAGTGGTTGGATGAAGCAAGAGTACATGACAGGGGCTGGGAATATAGCTCAGTTGGAAGAATGGGGATATAGCTCAGTTGGTGGAATGCTTGCCTCGCATGCACAAGGCCCTGGGTTCAATCCCCAGCACCACAAAAAAAAAAAAAAAAAAAGAGTACATATATCAGGCTCACAGAGCAGGATGATATCACAGGGAGAAGAGAAAGACCCTAATTTCAAACTGCAGAACTTCACAATGTGAAGTGTCTGGCTGTGGCTCTGCTCCTAGCACCCAGTTGGCCTCGACAGAGCCTGTCTCCTCCTCCTCCGTGATAGAGCAGGGAGGCCGAGTGGTACCCCCATAGGAAAGTACATGGTAAAAGGTCCAGTTCTGGAGCAAAGTTGTGTAGTGAATCTCCTGTACCACTTCTCAAGCCATCAGTGGCTCAGTTTCCTCATCTATATGCTGGAGATAATACTAAGACCCACCTTAAAGCCATGGTGGGAACTACGTGGATTAATGCACAGCAAGTCCTGACAACGGTTCCTGGCATGTACATTCACTTAGTATCATTATTATTACTTGAGCTCTCACAGGGCTGGGGTGAGGACCTAACAAAAAATAACAGTTAAAATGGCAGGTACTACATATGGTATCACTGTGCACCAGGCCTTTTTTAAAGCACATTAATTTTATTTAATCTGTAGAAAAATCCTGTGAGAAAGCAAAACTGAGGTTCGGGGAAGTTAAGCAATTTTTCTAAGTTCACACAGCTAATGAGTGGCACAACTGGCATCTGAAGCCAGGCTGGGGAGCTTGCAAACGTTACTACCCTCAGGATGATTAAACTGACAATCATAATGGTAATGATGAGTTGCAAAGCTCTTGCCATGAACCATCGTGACCTTTATTCTTCCCTAAAACCCTCTGAGGAAGCTACTGTCATCACTCCCATTTTACAGATGAGGAAACTGAGATAGAGAAGCCCTTTGTTAGGTGACAAGTGTCATTATTACAAATTCCCCAGAATTCCATGTTCCCCCCACCAACTAATGCACATTGGACCATTCATCTCTCAACAGCACAGAGGACTGGGAGATGTATGATTCCACAAGTTTGAGAAATAGTGTATCTTGTTTTCAAGTTGAATGTATCACCAAAAAAAAACAAATGACAGAATACATTAAAGTGAAATATTGCCTTCCTAGTTTAAAAAGAAAAAATGGGGGCAGGGGAGAGGTAGGGATAACAAAAGGGAAGAGAAAACAGGTCAAACCCATGCTTTAACCAAGTCAGGGATTTTTCCAGCTTCCCTCTAGGGTAATCTGATCCAAGTTTCTGAGTGATCAAATGACTAACCTGGAAATTTGAAGATTCACACTTACGGAAGAAACAGCAGTTCTTCCAAACCCAGGAAATACCGCTAAGCCTGGGAAGCCTTCTGAAATGTGAAGGATCACACAGTTTGGAAAGCAACTACACACATTAAGATGATCCCAAAGGCTGTGCTATGTACAGAAGTAATCTAACCTCTTCAGTCCGTTAATTCCTATCGTCTACTTAAGCATTGGGGGGAAAAAATACCTTAAGAAAATATGTCAGTATATTTACCTAAGGAATTCTGGTTCCATCTTTAAAAAGGAAGAGAAAGAAAGAATCACTCACTCGCGTAGCAGGATCCAGACATGAAATTCTCAAAATATCATCCAAAACAGCCCACTTTTTTCTGTGATAATGTACAAGACTGTTTTCCCCTTCATAGTTAGAAGGTTCCTCTCCAAGAGACTATGCTTAAAGAATTAAACTGAATTTGCAAAGAGCCACATAACCCTTTTCCTTTACGTCTTTCAATCTAGAACCTTCAACTCTTCCCCTTTCACCTGACAGGGTCAAGGCCACAGATACAGAAAAGTATCTCTTCCAAGGTTACACAAGGAAGCAGAAAGCATACCTCAAAAGTGCAAACTGACCACATACCCCCTAAGCCCTTCCGACCTAACCGTGGACTTCACGTAGCTGTGTCCTTGGGGCCACCTAGCAGGCAGGCTTAGTGAAAACTATGTTAACTACACACTTCTAAAAAAGTGCAGCCCTGTCTCAATCCTTTCAGCAAGTCTTGGAGTATCACTCCTTCGGGGTTACAACATTTCCCGAACTTGTCCGCCCAGGCACAAAATAAGCAACACTGTTGGTTTCAAGTTTGCCCTGATTTATCCAACCAACTTGAAGCCACGATATCCCCTGCTTCTGCTCTCAGACTTATGGCTTTAGGGGGTCTAGGAAGTTGTTTCCAAGCTAAATTCATTCTATTCCTCTCCAAAAACTCCAACTCAAGAGTACCCTCCAGAGTGAGAGTCACAGAGAAATGTTCCACTTTTCCCAATAGGATCTCAGCAACGCTTAAAAAATAAACAGAACACTTGCATAAATATTACAACAGACGGAGCCAACTCCTCCAGTTGAGGATCAGACTTGTCCCTCTCCCCAGCTGGATGCTCAGAACCCACCTGGGGACAGCAAACTTAGAGGCGCACTAGCCATGGGGTTATCTCATTGAACCGCTGGTCTGCACTCGCCACCCGTGCTGACACCCTAAAGTACAGCGGACATTGGGTTTCAACACTGCATGGTCAAAGCTCCATGGGAACTTGAAATCCTTACATCCATTGCAAATCCTAAAATCCTATCATTGGTTCTCCTACTTACCTTGGGTTGCGCTCGGCGAGGAAATGCAACTTTGGGGTCAATCTGGGGGGAAAAATAGAAAAGTAGGAGTCAGTGAAATGCTAAGGAAAGGGGAAAAAATAGGATCAATCACCTAATTATTAATCACCCATTTCTCAGGCTTATATCTTGGCATTTATTAACTTCTTGGGCAACTGCAAAGTCCCTTCAATGCTGAGCTCAGCTTTCGTCATCCCTCCAAAATTGGCCTTTCTGAAATGCCTCATGGTGCATCTCAGTGTGTGACGCTCTTCATAAACCGGGTGTCATGTACCCTTATTTAGACAAGGGATTCTCTTCCACAGACACTGCCCAGTAAAAGCTACTCACAGCTAATCTGCAATGTGAGTCCAGGAGAAAAGACGGGAGCAAAGTCATCACTGAAAAAAAATCATAACCTGAAAATTCAACATAAGCCCTTTTAGCACCAAGTAATCAGATCCAACACAATGCTCTGCTTGAATTTTAGCAAAATAAAGTGACCCAGGATTAATCAAAAAGATCTGTTCCGTAGTTATACCTCAAAAGAAAGCAGGTGTCCAAAACTGCGGAGCTGGACTTGGTTCTTAAAATAATTTAAAAAGAAAGAGAAAAAATGCATCTGAACTAAATACACCCGGATAAAAAAACACACACACAAAAAAAACATATAGGGTAAAAATCTATGAGTGACCCGAGTTCAAATTAAAAAAGAAAAGGTCGGCCTGGCGATGGTGAAAAATAAAATTACTGGAAAAAAAAAAAGTCACAATCAGTGGTGGTTCCCACCTGTGATCCCACCAACTTGGGAGGCTGAGGAAGGAGGATCACAAGTATGAGGCCAGGCTCAGCAACTTAGCAATACCCCTGTCTCAAAATGAAAAATAAGAAGGGCTGGGGATGTGGCTTGGGTTCAATCCACAGCAGCACCGCCAAAAAAAAAAAAATTCAGAATCTAGTCTGAGAATTAGGGTATCCCCACCTCCACCTCCACCTCAATGGAAAAACTTCTCCACTTCAAATCAAAAGCCTGCAGAGCACATGATTCTCAATCAGAGACTAGTTTTTACAACTCAAAACAATTCCCACAGAAGCATTTGAATCCAACAGGCTGAAGTGAGGAGAAAAAAAAAGTTACTGGATAGATAAAAAGAAGAAAAAAAAAAATTTCCGTTGTAGATTTTCATCAAAATTCTAAATGTCATAAATCTTTAGATAAAATCCAACTCAGGGCATGAATACTGCTGCAAGTTATTTATTTAAAGGCTTTTGGCTTTTGCATTAAATTTTTTCCTTTCTAAAAAGTAAACCTGAATTTGTTTTCAGTTCTGTCATGGAGGGAAAAAAAAAAAATAATGCTTTGGGAAAAAGAGCAAAGGATGAAAAGCTCACCACTGATGGCTTCTCCGTTCCCTGACTTAACATGCCCTAGGACCCCGGGCAGTAAAGACGCACAAGGATTTATCGCTTTTATTAAGGTAGTTTAAAGACCTAATAAAAGTCTGTTTCGTGTTTTCTACCTTGAAGCATCACCTGAGAAATGAGAGATTACTTTTCAAACGCTAAAAGAGACCCCAAAAATCTCTGATCTAGAAACTACCCTTTCATAAAGATTAACATTACTGCATCTACAGGTGTGCCCAGCACTGACTAGAGCTCATCTACAAGAGAAATACAACAGGTGTGGATTTTCCATTCTGTTGACCAAACATAGGACAGACGCATCTGTTCAAAAACACTCTTCGAAAGGATTTTATTTATTTATTTTTTTTAGCTGACCAGCACACAATTGTAAAAGAAGTCCACCTTGTTTTCGGGACAAAAGGTAAAGGGCACTCAAAGGAGAGTTCAGGAGGTAAGGGGAGACGACACAAGGAAAAAATGTGATACGCTTTAATAAAAAAACTAAAATGACAAAACCAAAAGCCAATTGGGAACTATACTGTGTGTGGTGACATCCGCGCATGGCACTGAGGTCAGCGTGCAAAGTTTACACACGGAGATCTCTAAAGGAGAGGAGGGGTCAAGGCAAGATGGCAAATCCCAACCTTTTGTACATCCCTGTCAACTAGTTTTTAAAGATGAACAACAAAAAAAAAGAAAACTACCAAAAATTAAAACATTAGTTAGTTAGGTACAACTCTACTTACTGCATCTACAGTCCTCTAGGAAACACTAGGGTACTAATTTGGATGCGAATGGCCGTTACCTAAACAAAGCTTTTAAGGTAAGGGTAAACAAGATCCTCGTTTCCATGTCAATAAACCAACCGCCTTCTGCCTCCTGCACTGAACGTTGAAACAAAGTCAAAAGCTAGGTTATACTAAATAATAGCTACCACAACACGTCTACAAACAATTAGGGAGGGAAACTGTAGGCTATGCCCTTGACGCTGAAGGATTCGACCCACCAGCCACCACAGTAACCAAATTCTAATTCTCCTACCCAGGTGGGGAGAGGGGAGTGGACCAGAAATTCAAGAATTTGCCTTGAGATGATTTTCCTCATTAATTTTACGAGTTTTTTGAAATATCTAGCCAAGAAGTCAAGGAGGAAAAAAAAAATCCTCAGACATCCGTTATCACCCTACAAATGATTATTCCTCAAATTAAATTCTCTAAAAGTACAAAATGTCTGAGCCATAAGCTAAAATACTTCCAAGACAATTAATAAAGCTACTAAGTATGTGAGGTCTTTTCCTGGGGAGAGAGAGGGCAGCCCCTGACCTCTTTGATCAGAGAAAGAGGGTGAATTTGCAAAATCAATAAGAATGCATATCAAAGGTTGTCAGTTTTTTTTTTCTTTTCTTTTCTTCTCTTCCATTCAGTGTTCCATTCCATTGGCTTTCAATGTTAAAGGCAAAAGAACCTAGAAGATGGCCTCGTTCTGTTTGTTTTACAGAAGAGGAAACTGAGGCCAGAGACAGGGAACAACTTGCCCAAGTCCATGATGGACCACTAGAAAGAGAACCCCATCTCTAGCTCCATCCCTGGAGCCCACCATAGAGAAGTGGAGCCCCACGCTGCCCACCACTACATCCCAACATCACCTCGAGGCCTCTGTTTAAGCAGATATAAAAAAAAAAAAAAAATCGTGGGGAAATTACAGTAGACGAGACGTACAGGGAAGGGAGGAGAGGCAGGAAGCCAACACAGGGGCTTAAATAAAACACTGTGAACTCCCCAGTCTCCCCTAACATTACATTTATTATTACAGACTGACAATTCTTTCTTCCCTTCCTCTCTGACCTCACCCTAGCAACTTTTCCCCCTCTCCACTCTGGATTTTAAAAACTTCTAATGCTATAAAAGTACCCACACTCATATGAAAGGAGCCAAGAAAAAAAAGAAAGAAAAAAAAAATCACTTTGAAACCCAAGGCCTTATCAGGCTTCGGTTTCACGCCATCTGGAGTCACCCCACTGGATGCCCAGCTTGGCTCTGCTAGCGACTCCTTTTCTTCTCAAACCGCATTCCAAATCCCAAGTGCACCAAGAGAAACCTGTTGCCTGGACCCAGGATGGGCACCCCCTCCCTCCCCTGCCACCCTGGCTTCCCTCAGCCGGGAAGCAGGCTGTGCCTCCAACAAGCCATTCCCACAGCCACAGTTGGTAACGCGGGCAGTGCTGGCTGACAAAGTTCCCTCTGCTCTCTGGTAGTTTCTCTGTATGGTCCCCCTGGCCGGGAGAATAGCCCCTCGGGGGAGTCAAATCCCCTCCTCCCAGACTCCCGAAGCTGCAATGGGACAGGCTCTAAAAGAAAACCCCAAACCCAGCCAACGCAGCAAACTTCTGAGCCAACTCGCTAGCTAGCTCGGTTTAAAAGTACCCATTTCTAGCACAGAAGCAAAAGACGGCGCTGTCCCTTTAAATAGGGCTGTCAATGCCCAGATCGTTCCTGAAAAGGGGCGAGCAACAACCACAACAACAACAAACAAACAAAAAGCAACCTACCGTCTTGGAATCTAACTCATGGTGGGGCTGACCTAATACTTTATCTACACTTGCTGGGTCTGCGAACGTGACGAAACCGAAGCCTCTGAAAGGAGACAAAGAGGGAGAAAAACAAACAAGAAAATGTGACACCATTGAAAGCAACAAGGAGTAAGACCTAATGCAGAAGGGGAGCAAAAGTTGCCCCCCACACACCCCCATCCCGACGTCCCTCCCCTAAGTCTATTATCCTGCCTACAGCCCTCTACCTCGCAGGAAGGAAAAAAAAAATATCAAGGTTAATGGGGGAAGTGGAACGGGGGGCAGGGCGGCTGGAGGTAACTTGGAAGAGGCTGGTGCCTCCACCCTGGCCGCCTCAGTTTCCTCTCCTCCTCCCTTTCTTAAGGCTTTGTTGTATTCCGGAGGGGGTCCGGCAACCCAGAGAGATTCACCCACCTTTCCAAGAGGGGACTTCAGAGTTTGGGGAGCTGGGAGTATAAGGAAGGCACACATTGGGGAAAAAAAAAAAACTATGTGGAAAGTGAATGAAGCTGAATGTCATTTTAAACAAGAGAAAAAGAAGCAACGGGAAATGACTTCAGGCGAACGAGATGGGCATCTCTGTATTCAGAGTTCAGCCCTAATTAACCATAACCTTTGGGGTTATGGTGGGGTGGGGTGGGGGGGAGTGACGTTCCGGACCAGCCACGAGCCTGAGCCCCATTCTAAATCCGCTTAGCTACTTCCGAAGACACCTCCAAAAATAAAACTTAAAAACTTTGTTCTAAAATAAAGGCAAAAAAAAAAAAAAAAAACAGAAGGGAATGGTTTACCTGGAGCGTTTCGTAGTGGGATCTCTCATGACCATACATTCTCTAATTTCTCCAAATTTGCTAAAATAGTCTCTAAGGCTATCTGTAGAGAGAGAAAGAGAGAGATGGGGGGGAGAGAGAGAAGGTGTGGAGAAAAGAAAAAAAAAAGCAATGCAAATTTTGATCAAGGACAAAAACCAAAAGTAGTTTTCTGTTGTTATTCTGTTTTGTTTTCTGCAATTTTTTTGCACACGCGGGCGGGGGAATTCGGCCACAGAGGTCGTGTAGAGGGCTCGGAAAGGATTTGCTATTTAAAAAAAATTAAGTAAAGAACCTTGCACGGGGGAAGGGGGGAGCAAATGGCGGGGGGGGGGCTCCTACACCGGGATAACAAAGAGCAATAAAGAAGCCAAGAAGGGGGGGACCCAGGCGTCCCCCCCTCCCTCCCTTACCTGGTGAGGTCTGCCAGCTCAGTCCACCGATAAACATTTTACTAGAGGGAGAAAACATAACAGAAGTGAGCACCGATGTCAGATCGGCCATTTTGACGTGTAACTTACAAAAGCTAAAAGGAAAGCGGGGGGGAGCGATCGAGCGCGAGCCGGGAGGTGGGGTGGGGGAGAAGGTGGCGGCGAAACGCCATCCAAAGGTGTGTAACTTCCACTGGGGGGGGGGGGGGGGGGGGGGGGGGGGGGGGGGGGCGCGGAGATGCCCGGCTCCGCGCACCGCCGTCCCCGCGCCGCGGCAAGGAGAGCGAGCCCGGCGGCGGCGGCGGCGGCGCGGTGGGCAGCGGCTGGAAACTTACCCGGGGTCGTGCTGGGAGTCGTTGGCGCTGCCCGAGGTGCCTTGGCTCCCATTTGCCTCCATATCGGAGCCCCCCCGCCCCCCCACCCCCGAAACACCGAGCCCCACAGCGATCGGAGCGGAGCGGCGGCCGGCTCCGAGCCCCGAGATCTCCGCTCCCTCCTCCCCCGCCTCCTCCCCCCCCCCCCGGCCCCCCCCCACCCCCCCCCCCGCCGCCGCCCCCGGCCCCCCCCCCTCCCCGGCGCACGTGGGGCGGAGTTCTAGAACGTCGTGTAACCAATGCGGTGACGTCACGCACCCCGGTGCGGCCCCCGCCTGCCCGCGCGCGCGCTCACTCGGCCCCCCCCCCCAGCTGCTGGACCCTTGGGGTCGACGCGCGCGAGCCCCGAGGCCCGAAGGGGGCCCCGCCTCCGGACAGACGGGCGGAAAAAAAAAAAAAAAGGGGAGCGCACCCCGACTTCCCTGGATCACATGGGCTGCGGGGGGCGGGAGGATCGGGGAAGGGGGAGGCGCGGGGAGCTCGCCGCGGCTCCCCACCCGGGCCCGGGAGAAGACGCCCCCCTCCCCCTGTTCGGCCTCTCCATTCAAGTTCGCTCGCGGTCCCCTGCCGCCGCCGGGACCTGGGGATGGCACTAGCCGCCCGCCCTGGTCTGCGCCCAGTTTCAAGCCACCGCGCAAAAATTTAGGTCAAGGACGTAGGGAGCAAGCCCACACCCTGGCGCTCCTCTGGCGGCTCCCGAGACACCCCCCCTCCCCCAGGATCTGGGGACTCCGGGATGGCGGAGACCCTCCGGCACAAACACCAGCCACAAGTTTTATTTTCCTTTCGCGCTGCAAGTTCGCTGGCTCGCTCGCTCTCCACACCGGCACGTCTTGTGCTGCTCCCCGCCCTTCCCCGGCGGAGGTACGGATCTGTACTGGGGAAAGGTTATTTTGGAACTTTGAGAAACTGACGCGATTCCAATGGCGAGAAAGTGCCCAGGAAAGAGTTTCCGCGTTAATCGTACAGCGTTTTAAAAATATAATAAAATCGGTTTTATAGGGGTCAAGGTCAAATGATCGGGATTCAGAGCCAATGTTTGTACATAGTGAGAAGTAGTTTTGGAGCGTCTCTGGGATGGCTGGGAAGGTAGTTATTTCAGGAAACCCCTCTCCAACCCGTCCGTTATAATATATTTTATTCTTTCTCAAGTTACCCAGGCTTTATATGCTGAGATAGTAAAATGCATGAGATTGAAATAGCCCAAGACCTCAAGACCTGGGGAGGTCATTGGGGTAGCAGAAGGCTTCAGACACACACACCACCACCATCACCATCACAGAAGCATTATGGCACAGCATAGATCCAGGCACACAGTAGGTGCCTAATAAATGCTTGATAATCCCCCCCCCTTGCTCAATGAAAAACCTCAAAACATGATATTTGTAGCTTCCCAAAGGCATCGCACATTTCTCCAGCAGATTCCATTTAAAGCTGGCCAAATTCAGGCTGGATTCAATTTATGGGGTATTTAAAACAATAAGGATACAATTATACTTATTATTTTATATTATTACAGTAAACTAAGTTAATATGGCATGAGGGGCAACATAAAGTTGCGGTTCATCAAATATTCAGATTAAGGTTAAGTATGAATTGATGCCCAATTAACACTTTTCTGTTAATTTTCATTAGGATTAGAAGACAATGGAATACACTCAACACCAAAACTGCACCAAATCTACTGTGGGTCTTTAAACGTGGAACATTTGGAAAAACTCAACACCAGCCAAATCCTTGGGTGTCCAGACTCTCAATCTCCCTGTCCTCTGAATTGGGATAATTCCCCCTTGACAAGATTGATGGGGTGGGGGTGAAGTGTTTGACGTGAACAAAAGTTATAGAACTCTTTCTCCTTGCAAACCTATGTGGGGTCATGTTCATAACCAATCATTACTTAATCCCATTTTAGATGGCACTTTGAAGCTTTAAATCATTTGCCATTGCTCCAAGCCGATTCTCAAATCATCTGGGGGTCTCATGCATTGAAGAGCCAGTTTTGATGATAATTGTTTATTATTATTCCCAATAACAAAATGAGGACAATAGAGCTAATTGGATTGTGTTTTGGGTTTTTACAACTACCATACTCTGAGCTTGAAAGGCCTTTCCTAATCCAACCCCCTCATTTTACCCAAGATGTCAGAGATGCTACACTGTCAGGCCCCATCCTTACCTCTACCAGTGAGTTACCAAGAAGGGGCCTACTCATCAGTTCATGCCCTTGGCTCTGCTGCCTCAATATTTATTCTCTCCTTTGCAAGGTGAGAATGGGTGCTGTTCTTACTGGTGTAGACCTACACAAGCTGACACTTAGTGAACTGGAAGAAAACCCTGAGAGGGGCCTGCCCTAAAGGGACCAACTCAGTGGCTGAGAAAGGACTAGATTTTAAGTCTCCATCACTATAGTGAATTTTTTTTTTTTTTTTTTTTTTGGTACCAGGAATTACACCCAAGGGCATTTAACCAGTGAGCCACATCCCCAGCCCCTTTTTGTATTTTATTAGGGGCAGTATCTCACTGAGTTGCTTAGGGCCTCACTAAGTTGCTGAGACTGGCTGTGAACTCCTGATTCTCCTGCCGCTGCAGTAACATTGTGGCTACCTCTTCTTGCTTTGTAATTCTCAGTCTTGACAAATGCACAGAATCCTGTAACCAATGCCAGAATCAAGATGTGGAAGAGTTTCATTGTCCCAAGGAACACCTTCTTGCTGTGCCTTTGCACTACATTATTTATGATTATTATGTATTTCTTCTCCAGCTCACTCAAGGTAGCCCCTGCATCAGGAAAATTCCACTAGTGAAATGTTAGATCTCACCCCTCTTAAAAGTCTTAACACTGTTGGGTAGCCCTGCTTGAGACTCCATCTTTGCTAGCTCTCCTAATACCCACTTTCTTCTGCTTTCCCTCATCGCTTACCAGCCCTTCTCCAACTCTGTTCAGACTCTCCCCTCTCTGCCTTTCCTTTATATTTGCGGGTTCATTCTAGTCTCACCTCTAGTTACACACCCTCCCTGGATGACTTCTCAGTGGGATGGGTTTAAATGTCACCTACATGCTGATGTCACTCAAAATCTCCAGCCATGACCTTCCCAAAGATTTCCAGGTTCTGGTCAATTTCTTATTCAACATTCCCACTGAACGTGTCAAAAACCACTTGCATGCTCTTTTCCCCTACCTCTGACCCTCTTTTAGGGTTCCCTAAAACAGATCCCAGCCATTTGAAAACAACACCCCTTCCTCATGCAACCTATCAAGAGGGTCCGGGGTTTCACCTCCTAAATATCTCTCAAATCTGTTTTTCTCACTACTTCATCCTCGATCCCCACCACCACCCAAGGCCCTGCAACAGCTTTCAAAAGAGTTGTCTGGGGCTGGGATTGTGGCTCAGCGGTAGAGCGCTCCCCTCGCATGGGCGGGCCCCGGGTTGGATCATCAACACTACATAAAAAATAATAATAATAATAAATAAATAAATAAAGGCATTGTGTTGTGTCCATCACATCTAAAAAAATAAATATTTACAAAAAACAAAAAAAAACAGTTGTCTCACAACCACTCTTAGTGCACTTATGTATCTGAAAGCTTTCCCAGACCTCTTTGACCAGTCATGCCCTTAGAGGTACACTGTTAACCTGCCAGAACGTCCTCTGTGTACCTGTGTGATCATTTGCTTTATTGCCCATCTCCTCCACCAAGCCACAAGCTCCCATCCCATTTTTACTCTCCTTGTACCAGAACAGTGCCTACTGGTACATGGCTGACAATAAATCATTATTAAGTGAGTAAATGAGTGAAGGGATGAAAGAATGAATGAAAGTCAACATCTAATTTGTATCCATGTTCAGAAGTCAAATTGGCTGCAATTTCCCCCTTTTCATAGTCCCTTTCTCTAGTTATACTGGCCTCCTAAAAGGAACTGGTTAATGTTCCTTCTTTTTCCATTTTCTGGAACAGTGTGTTTAAGATTGGAATTATGTGTTCCTTGAATGTTTCCTAAACTTGCCAGTAAAAATGGGTCCGGGAGAGCCATTTCCTAGGTTGATTTTTAACTACTGATTTCATTTCCTTAATGGTTATAGATCTGTTGAAGTTTTCTGTTTTCTTTTTGAATCCATTTTTGCACACTATGTTTTTCAAGGAAATTATCCATACCATCTAGGTTTTCAAATGTACCTGACAAAATGCAATACATAGTTTTCACTTAGTATCTTTTGACCTGCTGTATCTATCCATAATATCCATTTTTTTCATTCCAGATATTATATGTATCTTCCCTTATCTGGATTAATTTTTCCAGGGACCTACTTCTTTAGTAGTGTTTTCTTTCCACTTTTCTACTAGTGTTTTTGAAGAATCAGATTTTAGTTTTGCTAACACTCTTTTTCTGGTTCATTAATTTTTTTTCTTTTTCTTTTCTTTTTTTTTAAATTTTGGTTTTTTGGCCATACTGGGAATTGAACCCAGGGCTTCACGCATGCAAGACAAGTGCTCAACCACTGAGCCACGTTCCTAGTCCCTAGTTTATTAATTTTTTTTTTAGAGAGAGAGAGAGAGAGAGATAATTTTTTAATATTTATTTTTTAGTTTTCGGCGGACACAACATCTTTATTTGTATGTGGTGCTGAGGATCGAACCCAGGCCGCATGCATGCCAGGCGAGTGCGCTACTGCTTGAGCCACATCCCCAGCCCTAGTTTATTAATTTTGGTTCTTATATTATTATATGTTACATATCTTAAATTTTTACTACATGAAAATAAGTGTATATCATATAATATTCATATATACCATATCATATATATGGTATTAGTCCTTTCATTCTATTCTTCTCAAGTTTTTTCTGTTGGTTTTGTTGTTGTGGTTGTTTGAGTTTTGGGGGTTTTGTTTGTTTGTTTGTTTGGTACTGAGAATTGAACCCAAGGTTATTCTACCACTGAGCTATATCCCCAGCCCTTTTATTTTTTATTTCAAGATAGAGCCTCACTAAGTTCCTGAGCCTGGCCTTGAACTTGCAATCCTCTTGCCTCAGCCTTCTGAGTAGCTGGGATTACAGGTGTGCACCTCTGCAATTGACCTGTTGCTCTTTTTAAAAATTTTGACTTAGTGGCATAGGCAATTAGTTTTGATTTTCTCTTTTCTAATCTTAAC